TATATATATATTGTTTTTTTAGATACTTATGAGAACGAATTATAAAAATTGCATAACTACATTAACAAATATAAACTATATAAATAAAAGTGAAACTGAAAACACCATCCTAGTTTTACGTAATAAAGAGTAGAAACATTTTTAAAAATGCCACCTACTCAAAAGAAAATGTGGGAAATGTGTCAACCCAGGTGCATAAAAAATAATTAGTTCTTCATTTTAATTGCAAGGGAGTGTAAAGTATTTCATTGCAACGCACACCCCACATTGTTTTGAATTGTATGGTTACGTTAAGAGCCATAAGTTTTAGCATTTTGTAAATACTGTTTCTTGTTTAAATTAAGGCCACTAAGCATATCTAGATTGTAGTAATTAAAAAAGCATTCGTGAAATTGAAACACTCAGAAAATCTTAACTAATTAATTTAACTCCAATTTTTTTACATGGGAAATTATAGTAAAATATGAAAACATAAAAGTACTAAAAACTATTAATTATTGCCCATATAAAGTTTATTAGATGCATATAAATTTAGATTATGCTTGCACTATTTTTGAATAAAAAAGATTTATACACAGGTAAATTTTGTGTTAAACATGTTAAAATTATGCTTTAGGTTTAAAAATAGTTTACTTTAGGTTCAATAATGATATACTTTAGCTTTAATAATCATTTACTTTAGATTCAATATAAAGCAATTGATTTGTCTTTAGAATATATTGAGTTTTTAGAAATTAATTTGAAAAAAAAAAATAATTTTGGTGACTTATAAACTAATGTTAAAATCAGTCACGACATCATCAATATTTTTTTAGTAAACTAATAAAGGTATTTTGTTATATTCGTCATGTGGATTTATATAAATTTTATTTTTGTATCAAAATTTACTGCAACATATTTTGCAGGTTTCACATGAAATGTACAAATCAGTAAAATTTTGTGTTTTGAGAAAATTAAAAAAAAAGCTTTGAAACTTCAACGGATGTCGTATCCTGTTCTTTCATCAATTAAAAACTATCAAAAATATTACGCATGTACAAAAATACTTCTGGAAATTTCTCTACATCATATTACGTTGCAAATTATTTTAAAAAATTTGATCAATACTATACGCTTGATGTTTTCAAAAATGTTTAGTTGCTTGCATAATTATTTCCTATATCCTATTTTAGAAAGCAAATAGTTTATTTAAAACTTTTTGCAAAAAATAAAAAGTAATGAATGATATTTAATACACAAATTGAAAAAAAAAAGGTTACGAGTATTTTTGTTTTAAATACAAACTATTTATGTGATTAATTTCATTAGAAATTCCTTTTAGATTAACAAAACAGCATTCATCAAAGAGATAATTTGCAAATAGATGTTTTGAGCAAAGAATCAAAGAGGAATATAGTTTATGATCGAACAGCATCTTAACATTTTCTTACAATTAAATTTTCATCTTATTCATTTTATCATCTTCTTACAGAATTGAAAAATATGATTATTGTTTAACATTTCCGTATAAAAATAAAAGTATAAAAGATAACTGCAAAGCTCTTTTGCATTGATGCATTAAGTATTGAAAGAAATAAGTTTCTTGAACTTTATTATGCATTGTAAAAAATTCCGGTAAAAAGTACTGTCACCCTGAGTGCAGCGTCCGTGAAATCGATTTTACAGTAAAATTTACAGCCATAATTTTCACAGTATTATTTATTTAGTTACAGTGATACAGTTATTTTACTACTGTAAAAATTGCTTAATATCAGAATTGTTTGTTTGTTTTTTACGGTAAAAAGTGGAGTATGTTTCAATTGCACAGACACACTTCACGGGAAAAAAAATTCTTATGTGAGTGTGAAAACTGTTATGTAATGATTTTTGTAAAATTTGGTAATAATTTTACCACAATAATTACCAAAGCTCATAGATAAAAATTACCGATCATTTTGGCATTCCCATATTGCCAGATTTATGAGCAATTTTAATATATTACGGTATTTTTTAATCATACTTTTTTCTTCAGTATATTTTTGTTATTTTAAGTAAAATCTAATTCTTCTAAATACATTTTTTATTTCAGGAAAATCATTCTGACCAAGGAACTACTTATCATGATGAAAAGCATATGGCAGCAGTCCTAATGAGGGACGGAGATAATGGGCAGTTGGAATTGGTAATGGCTCGTTTACTTACTAGTTACTAAATTACTTTGGCTATTAAGTAGTGATTATTCTAATCACTTAATGGATTTAGTTTCGTTTTGGATCTAGCCTTCATACTGTACTAACATTTTCATAATTCGAGTAATTGTGAAATTTGATTTTATCGATATGATTTTTTTTTCTTTTTTTTATAATTTTTAAGATAAAAAAAACTTTTCTTTAGATTAATTGTCGGTCAAAAACATTTCTTCGAAAGTTTTTTTTCTTTTCCTTGTTTCATTAAATTAAGATTATAAAATACCACAAGAATTCTGTTGCAATGATGCACTTTTAAGTAAGTAAAGGGTAGACTTTATTAAATTGTTATTCAGAAATATTTTTTCGTTAAATATAAATCTGCTTCGAAACATACATGGTTCTATTCTAGAAATCATTAAAAAAAAGCACTACACTCTTATTTTTAAATGGCTGAAGATTTTTAAATGGCCAATTTATACACTTTTTTTCAAACCTTATATTAAAATTTTTATCAATTTTCAGTTGTCGCAAAGGAATAAAATGTGTAAGAGATGAAAATTTAACATTTAGGTGATACTCTGTTGAACAAATAGACTCTAAAATAAACCCAATTTACTCATTTTTTATTTTGTTTATTTGAGAAAATTCATGAGTTTTTGTGATAATGCCTAACGAAGAAAATAGAAATTTGAAGTTGGTAATGGTTTCATGATCAGACTGTTTTTATCATTATCTATGAACATTACGAATTCGTTTGGAATAGTAATAACATCTCTTCTGTGTGGATCTTTTAATTTATGCATTGCGAAAATCTCACCTAGGAATTTTTGAGTCAATCATGTTCGCAGTTCTTTCAGATGTAAGAACGAAGATGTCAGATTGAAAACTCGAAAATTTCTAGCATTTTACCAGTCTGTAATAAATATTAAGAAGCAATTAATTCTAGGGGTCTTAAACGCATGGCATTCCGGTCACTAGTAGCTAACCAATGATGTTCTGGACACCCTCTGACCTATCTTGTTCAGTTTAAAAAAATAGTTTAAAAATTAAATGTAAAAAAAACTAGAAGTGCAGAATTATAGATCTCATTAATCTCATTAATGTTAGTTTTATTAGTGTTTCATTAATAGCGAGAAAAAAGTCATACGAAATAAAGTTTCGCCCCAATATTCACAGCTATACTTTTAAACAGATTTTTTAAGAATTTTTTTTATTTGGAAAAACAGAAATATCTCCCTGTGCTCCAAGGAATATTACACAGGGCCCGAAGGTACAACAGAGGTACAGCATAGTAACATAAAATTTTTACATGATATTGAAAAACAAAATTAAAAGAAAGAAGAAAGCAAAAAACAGAAGAATGACAGAAGTTAAATGACTGAATGGATAAATTTTACAAAAAGTTTAAAAGTCTCTTTTTTAAGTAGATCAGTCAAACTCGAGGGCCATCTATTATTCAAGTTTCTGCAAAGATCGTCCCTTTCTTGTGAGACCATCGTGCATTCTAGGAGAATGTGAAAAGGGTTGTCAATCCTGGTGTTGCAAATACACACGCCGCTGCTTTTTAAATGAAATCGATGGAGGTAGCTATTTTTAAGGATTTGCATGTTCATTCAAGCAGTTTTGAGTCAAATTGCTGTCAAAACAATTTCCCTCGAGGACTTAACCTCAATGGCCTCGGAGCGACTTGTACGATAAGAAGTATTCTACTATTACTTTTAGTTAGGCTATTTTTCAGAAATGTTTTGCCTTTAAATGCGCAGGTAATGACGTGTTGTCATAGTAATGCAGTAAAGATGCAAAAAGAATGATATTATTTTGAGGAAAAATGGAGCCTTGTAGGTTAAGGCAGTTTACTTTATTTGCAATGAGTGTGCAGCGGTATGAAAGAATGCAGCATCAAAATACGTTATAAGCGCAACTTAGGGTATTTTAGATGGGATGGACATTTCACAGAATCAAAAGCGAAACTATATCTCTTGCAATCGTTATTTTCCATAAGTGGTCTGAAGATAGTATTCGTGCTAGCAACATGATAGTCAAAACATGACGAAACGTGAAAGGCCATTTATCGGTTGAGAGTTGGCTTAAGAATACCTTTAGCCAACATTTATAGCATTTAATGCACATTAGCAATACAAATTTGTTTTAAATATCAGCTTGTCTGGAGCTAAAATAATTAGATGTTAGGAGGATGCGACTTCAGACATATTCAAATGTGTTTTCTATACCATTGGATGAATCGAAAAATGCTATCAATTATTAATAACTCGATAAAATTTCACTACAATATAGAAATAGCTAGTGTTACCGCAATTAGAAATGCAATTCTCATTTAGGATTTATATTCTTGCTTAAATAACATTTTGGCTCAATGTGCAAGTTTAACTTGAGCAATATACTTACCATCACAGAAACAGACGAATCTTTACAGAAGAATGAATTGTTGAAATGACACAAAAACATGAGGAAATATTAATATAATAGCTATTTGAATCATACATAAAAGAAATTAGCAAAAGCTGAATTTTCAAACTGTGAATATGTCGAGAGTGTGTAGTTGATACAGTAGTTAACTGACTTGGTTCAAGGGTGGCATTTAATTTCAATTTTTATTTTAACTTTTATTTTATTTTTATATCCGTTGTTGAACAGCCGACCCAATTTTTGGGCTTACGACTACTGTTGTTCAACTCCGTAGCTTGTAATTTTGAACCAATCCAGAATACAAGGAAACTCTTGGATCAGTACCCCCAGAGGTATTGATTTGTTACGGGAACGTGGAGGACTTTGTGACTCGACAGATTTAACGTGCATCAGTCACCATTTACTACGCGAGGAGTTTTCGGTCGGCGGGGATCGAATCCACGAACACTTGGACATGGACCCCAGCGCCCTACCGACCAATCTATCCCGGCTTCAATTTAAGTTTTTGACAAAATTCCTCAAAAAAAAAAAAAAAAAAAANAAAAAAAAAAAAAAAAAAAGAACTCCGTATTTTACTCTTAAACTAACTGCTATTCTTCTCATGCAAACTGAATTTTTCGCCTGTATTATTTAGCATATGTGGGACTCACGTGATTTCTCGAGTAATGGCTGTGACCCTTGTCTTTAAAAGTTTTATGACTCTTAGTCTACACTGTTAGAGATATTTTTCCACGTTGACTCATATTATCCCAGAAAAATGTTTCGAACTTAATAAGCATGATTCTGGCTGAATCATATTATCATGAAAGATTGTACTTTCCTGCACTTTATTACATGTTTCTGCGGCTCAATTTAGAAAATAATAAGTTTTAACTTAACACCTGTACAGAATTTTTTACATAATTGCACCAATTACAATTATTTTCTTCACATAATTGCACAAATCTACATAATTGCACAAATTCTTTACATAATTGCACAAATCAGAGTTTCTTGTTCAAGCCTTAATCGATTTTTCTCAGAAACTTTGAGTATTGGTCCTCGTTAAACTGTGCTACCGTAAAGTGCTCGACTTCGCGTGCAGGTCGTCGGGCTACCGAAGCGGAGACGCCACCCCCTCTGCAGAGGATCAAAATTGTGATGGCATGTCTTCGGATCATTCTCCGAGATGTTTCCCAGACCGTCGCCAATAGCCCATTGTGCAGCTCTAGTGCGACGTAAATTAACAACAACTGAGAAACTTTGAGAAACATTCTGAGAAACATTGAAAGACTTACAATATTATTATAACATTAGGGAGGAAATCAAAAGAGAGCTTGGCGGAATGCTAAAAAAACTCAAAATCTTGCCCTTTTGCATTAAATAACCACTTTTACTTTGAAATAGNAAAAAAAAAAAAAAAAAAAACTCCGTATTTTACTCTTAAACTAACTGCTATTCTTCTTATGCTAACTGAATTTTTCGCCTGTATTATTTAGCATATGTGGGACTCACGTGATTTCTCGAGTAATGGCTGTGACCCTTGTCTTTAAAAGTTTGATGACTCTTAGTCTACACTGTTAGAGATATTTTTCCACGTTGACTCATATTATCCACGAAAAATGTTTCAAACTTAATAAGCATGATTCTGGCTGAATCATATTATCATGCAAGATTGTACTTTCCTGCACTTTATTACATGTTTCTGCGGTTCAATTTAGAAAATAATAAGGTTTAACTTAGCACCTGTACAGAAATTTTTACATAATTGCACCAATTGCAATTATTTTCTTTACATAATTGCACAAGTCTACATAATTGCACAAATTCTTCACATAATTGCACAAATCAGAGTTTCTTGTTCAAGCTTTAACCGATTTTTCTGAGAAACTTTGAGTATTGGTCCTCATTAAACTGTGCTACCGTAAACTGCTCGACTTCGCGTGCAGGTCGTCGGGCTACCGAAGCGGAGACGCCACCCCCTCTGCAGAGGATCACAATTGTGATGGCATGTCTTCGGATCATTCTCCGAGATGTTTCCCAGACCGTCGCCAATAGCCCATTGTGCAGCTCAAGTGCGACGTAAATTAACAACAACAACTGAGAAACTTTGAGAAACATTCTGAGAAACATTGAGAGACTTACAATATTATTATAATATTAGGGAGGAAATCAAAAGAGAGCTTATCGGAATGCTAAAAAAACTCAAAACCTTGCCCTTTTGCATTAAATAACCACTTTTACTTTGAAATAGCTGAAATGAGAAAATAAGTTAAATATAAACAGTAAAGTATTTAAAAATAGTTGAAAATAACTTCAAATATAACAACAAATGTGTATGGAATATTTCTTTAATCAAAATATAATGAAATAAAAATACCAAAAATGCTATTATAAAAGAATTAAATAAATGCTTTAAGGTAATCACCATTATAACTTTAATTATTTTTATGTTGATGACAGCCTAATATATTTTCGAATATTCTTTATAAATATTATGGATCTTACCATATAATTTTCCCTCCAATTAAAATACACCGAGAGCAAGGTAAGTAAATTTTAGACCAATATCTTTTTATGTCACATA